CAGAGCTGAGTGTAAGATTCCAGGTGGGGTCTCGTGAGAGCAGAGCAGAGCCAGGGAGAATCCCCTCCCTCGACCTGCTGGCCACACTTCTCTTGATGCAGCCCAGGTTGCAGTTGACTTTCTGGGCTGCGAGCCCACATTGCTGGCTCATGAGCTTCTCATCCACCGATACCCCCAAGTCCTTCTCCGCAGGGCTGCTCTCACTCCACTCCTCACCCAGCCTGTGTTTGTGCTTGGGTTTGCCCCGACCCACGGGCAGGACCTTGCACTTGGCCTTGTTGAACTTCATGAGGTTGGCACGGGCCCATCTCTCCAGCCTGTCCAGGCCCCTCTGGATGCCATCCCTGCCCTCCAGCACATCCACCGCACAGCTCGATGTCATCGGCGAACGTGCTGGGGGTGCGCTGAGACCCAGTGTCTGTGGTGCTGACAAAGATGCTGAGCAGCACCGGACCCAACGCCGACCCGTGTCTGGGGCACTGGTATAATTCTTAGTGCTACATCACTGCTCAAGCAAATGCTTAAGTTTTTGACTGAAGAATGGCTTTCTTAATTAAATATTGCTTCTGTTTCTTTCTACGTGAACTCAGACACCAGTTAGATTAGTACTGTTGCTTTGAAATAGTCCAGCACATCATTTGTGAGCGCATCTCAATGAACTGGGGTTAAAAAGGCTCTTGGCATTTATTTTAAAAGTTTTTCTGCTGTTTCAAGTTATTTTTTAGGAGTATGTATATGTTCTAAATTTCTCTTCAGATTTGTGTCAGGTAGAGTGGTCTAGATTGGAAGGGACCTGTGCGTGTCATCTAGTCCAGCTCCTTTGCTCAAAGCAGGGCCAGCTTGAAGGTTAAATCTTGTTGCTTAGGACCTTGTTGACTCAAATTCTGAAATCTCCAAAGGTGGGAGATTCCACGGCCTCTTGGGTGCCTGTTCCAGTGCTTGACGACCCTTTGTGAAGAATTTCCTTATGTCAGTCACAGTTTTCCCTGCTGCAGCTTGTAGCTCTTGCCTCTTGTCCTTTGTCCACCTCGGTGGAGTTTGTCTTCTCTGTAACCCCTCTTTGGAAGCAGTGGAAGCGTGGTGTTTATCCTCCCTTGTCTGCCCTCTCCAGACAAGGCTTCCTCAGCCTCTTGTATCTGCAAAGCCCCCAGGCACCTGGGGCCCTCTGGACACCCTCTAGTTTGAAAACTTTCATACTGGGAGGCCTAAAACTGGATGCTTTTCCCGCCGTGGCCTCAGGTGCTGCACAGAGAGAAATGATTGCTTCCACCACCCTCCTGGCCCCGTGGCTGGCTCACGGTGGTGCCCAGCACACCCCAGTCGCTCTCAGGGGAGCTGCTCCCCGTCTGTTTTGTTTCCAGACCTGGGCCAGTGCGTGAGGTTATCGTGTCCCCAGTGCATCGGGCTGTTGCACTGGACGAGGTGCCCGCTGGCCCCCCTTCCACCCTGCTGAGACCCCTCTTAACAGCAGCTCTGCTCGCCCGTGTACTGATGTCTCCTTCCAGTTTGGTGTCACTTCCAAACTTGGTCGGGGTGCGTTCTTCCTTCCTGCACGCAGAATTCTCCGTGCAGCGGCGTAAGAAGGAATCAGTATTTTAAAACTGCAGCAAATCGTGTTGGTTTAAGTTGGGCGCAATACAGTTGTTTCCTTTGTGACTGAGGTTCGTGGAATTCCAAACCGTTACGCTCCAAAGCTAGGTTTTCTTTGCAAAAGTGGTAACTACCTGTACATAAATTCGAATCCTGACAGAGGGTGAAAACATTAAGGACAGGGATTATTCTCACACATGCAGACGTGATGTTCTTGTATTCTTAATAGCGACATCGAGATACTTAAAACTTTGATGTGTTTTGTCTTATTCAGCTTTTTACAAGTTCCGTGCAGATGAATCCCACAGATCATATCACTAATGCCAAAGTAAGTCTTAAATCCATTGCTCAGTGTACACAGTAGTGAGAGATGCAAACTTTATTCATCCTTTACTGTTTCCTTTACTGGTGTAATAGCACTTTTTACATGCTCTGGCTTTGAAGACTTCGTTGAGAATAGGAAGGCTGCAGCTGAGTTCATCTTGTCTGTTAGGTTTTAAACAGCAAAGGAAAAAGCACACTAATTGTGTCCTTTAAGACTCATGTTACCTCGAGGCCGATACCTGTATATTGTACCAGTCTCTTGACCTTTGTATTCTCTGAGATTTTAGCGGTTGCAAGCATGGTACACGCTTTGTCAGAATGGTTTCATCTGTATTGTCTGGTGGGAAAAGAAACACGAGCAGAAGCAGCAGAGGGAAGATCTAGCTCTTTGGATTTTTCCTGTTTGTTTAGGAGACTTAGTTTTGGTTCTTGCTTGAGTCAGCCTGCGTTTCCATTTCACATTTTCTCAGCCAAGGTCTGTTAGTATGGGAAACTGGTAACGCTGCATCCCTTCGCAAATAAGATTTTAGTTGTGGTTTTGCTTTTATTCTGTGGGGGTTTTTTTAATAGTTGGTCAGCTGTGTTCCAGTGGCATTGGAAAAGGCTTTAAGTGTGTATTTAAGACTTTGCTTTTATTTCCAGATGGAGACAAAGGGAATAGAAACTACCAAGAATAATGCTGGTCCTGCAGCTTCACAAGTTTCCAAGCCCAAATCAGGTTAGTTGTAGTGTGCTGTTAAAGGAGCATTACTCTAAAAACCATCTCTGTTATCTGCTCTTTGCCTGCCTTTCTGTCATGCTGCTGTGCAAATAACCAAAACAAAATACTTCACTGTAGTTGCTTTTTAGGTTTTTCTCTGCACCTGCTACAGTGGAAAACTGATGTTTTTGCAGAATCTGAACAAATAATGTCATGTGTGGATGTAGCAATTCCTTAATCACTCACTTAAAACAAACACCTCTCATGTTTTTTAGCAGTTATTCTTTCAATAAGTTGTGGGTTGGATTTTGTTTTTTTCCTCCTGCACGTAGGAAGGCCTGGGAACTGACGGTGTTTTGGGCATTTCTTTTCCCTTAGATAAGCAGCTCATACAGTACACTGCCTTCCCACTCCTTGCGTTCCTGGATGGGAACCCAGGCCCTGCCGTGGAGAGCGGGAGCTGGGTGGCTGAAACTCCTCCTGCTGTTGACAAATCCCTGGAAGTGGACGAGCTCCTGGAGAGCAGCCTGGATCCCGAGCCCACCCAGAGCAAACTGGTGCGGCTGGAGCCGCTGACGGAGGCCGAAGCGAGCGAAGCCACGCTCTTCTATCTATGTGAACTTGCCCCAGCACCCATGGATGCAGACATGCCCTTCCTGGATAACTAGTGGAATGGGGACTCTGTATATAGTCATGAACTATTTATTTAGAATATTGTTTGGTATATGAGTATTTTGTAAATCACTGTTTTATGTAACCAGGTAACACGGTATCTAGAATACCCTTCCTCTGTTATTTCCTACAAGCGGTGGTTTAACTACGTGGTTAGACAAGCTGCTAGGCATGGTTGGCAATACCAAGTCAGACTGTTACTGTCCTGCTGTCAAATACTTGGTATTACACACATCGCTGACTATCCCAGGTAACCAAACACTTGTTCATATAAGCTTTGATTTTATGATTTCTTATACTTCTGGTCTTATCTATGATGACGTTAACTAGTAGTGTACGGTTAGGGAGCACTGACTTTCAGTAGCTTGGGTTTTTTCTATTTTTTACAACAACATTTTATTTAACAAACATGAGGCTCTTTGGGGGTGGGGGGGACCAGGACCTGATGTAGGCTTTTTTTTTTCCCTGCTTAAACTGGGAACAAAGTGCCTGTACCTTGCTAAATCTTGGTTCTGCCTTACTTTCACTTCAGTGGAAGTGCTCACACATAGCACAAACTGGGGAAAAGTTCTTTACAGCCACCAGGCCCCTCGACTGCATGAGTACTTTTAACTTGGACCATCTATTCTGAAAAAATAAATGTTACTTAAGTGTGACACTTGTTAAGGAGTTGTTTCTTCTGTGTGCCAAGTGGGCGTGGATGTAGCAGCCCCAGGTTTCCATGCCTTAGTGGCTGTGCAAGAAGGGCTGCTTCCATGCAGGGTTACTGGAAAATAGCTTCGTTATCTCCAAACTTGGAGATTTATTTATGAGCTTCCAAAGCACGCAGCTAACGCAGCAGTCTGTCCAGCACTACCACAAGGAAGGTTTTCTCCTTTGCTCTCTTACTGTGACAGAGCCCCGGGGCTTCCCTTGCAGTGGAAGATCTCTATCCCTACTCAAACGGGGTGTTCCCATTTTACCAAAGTCTTCCGTGTTTGTTTATTCACATGAACTTACTGTAAGGTGTAGCACCCAGCTGCATGCCAGAGGCATCACCACAACACTCAGTCAAGGTGCAGCTGACACACTTTTAACTTAAATCATCTCATCCTGAGCTCCTGATTTGATATAAACAGCAAGTTAAACCGTAACTGAAGATAAAAATGTTCTCTTCCTTTGCTGTCCCCAAAGCTGTTTTGAGGAATTCCAGGGTGTAAGATGTCCTGGTAAAGGGAGAAACTGGGTTTTCATAACAGGAAAAACACCTTCTACAACCCAGCGCTGCATTCAAAATCTTTTTTTTTTTTTAAGGGAGTAGTAGGCTAGCCACTTGTGCAAGTTATTGAATCCCTAGAAACAGATGCCTGTTCATCTTTCTAATTCAGTGATTAGGTATTTCTTACAGGACTCTATTAAAACTGACATTCAGGTGTTTTACTCAAACTTAACAAACAGGTGCAAGGGAACACACAGCAGCAGTCACTGAAGCAGGAACGTGGTCACAAGCACAAAGAGATGGGTGCAAAGGGTACAGAGAGAAGACCCATCAGAGAACTTCCCACTGGGGGTTACGTGTGACCCCCCCCCCCCAAGCCAGAACTAACTCCCTGCTGCACCAGGGCCCCTGGCTGCTGCTTCGGCCTGACAGGGGCTACAAAACATCCCAGGAGCAGAAGAGATCACAACAAAACCCCCCACAATCTGCATGTGCCAGACATCAAAAGCCACTGGGCATCTTCATCCAAATTTATTTATTAATAAGGTAACAACATATTCCAAATTATTACAAGCCTTTACTAGTCCTTCCATTACCATCTCACATTTGACATGTCAGACTTCTGCAGTAAATGCCAGTGTTCAGGTGCAGAATTAAAATAAAATCTTAGAGAATGTGTCAGCAACAGGAAGTAACAGTCTAACCACCACGATGACAGGTCAGCGTGACGCCCGCTGAAGGCTCCAAGGTCACTCCCAGTCAGGCTGCTCTAGTCTCAAGTCATAGCAAGTAACAGAGATACAAATAACGCAGCTTACACACTGCCAGTACAAAGCAGCAGGCACAACAGCATTTAATATTTCGTAACTGCACAGGAACGATAGTTTAATCAACAGATTAATGCTTTACCTCATAATGCCTAGATTTAGACTTTCTAGGCTCAAGTCCATCTCTGGCACTGGACAAGCAAAACACCTGTTACGTTAAAAGATTTCAAAATTTAAAGCCCCAAATGTATTAAGAAACACTTTTGTTGAAGCCTCAGTTAGTGCAAGCCTCTCTCAGTTACCATAATTTCAGTGCTCCTTTTCCCCCGCTTCTAACTACAATACTAAAAGAATTCCTCTAAAGGGCTTGCAGAGTTTTCACCGCTCAGCTCCTTGCAAACTCTTGTGATTGTAGCTCAGCCAAGAAATTTGCACACAAAACAACAATAAATTACAGCACAGCTATTCCGTTTAAGCTACCCTAAAAAAAAAAACAAAAAACAACCAACCTACTACTACGTAGATGCACATTATAAACAGGTGCCTTAAAAACGTGCTTGAGCACCTGATACCAGGATGTTTTTCCCCAGGGTGTCTGTCCCCTCCTGCCTGCAACAGGACACGCCAGACCCAGCAGCACCGAGGAGGACACCAGCTCCTCTGCAAATTCAGGTGCAAGTCTCCCCCCTTTAACATCTGGGCTAGAGGTACCGCTGCCCTCCCGCGGGAAAAGGTCAGGCCATTGGCTCCAAAATGCTGCAAGATGTCCTGTAAAACTCCAACATGCACCATTTTGAGTCTAACAATGCTTACTCAAGACTTGCTTTGGAATCAAGGCAACAGGGATCAAAGGCAGCCCCTCCTTGGCTTGCAAAGCCTGATCTAACACTGGTTTGTTACCCTAATTAGCTCTTGCACTTTTTTTTCCTACAACTATTCAATGCAATTGAGGGGGAAAAAAAAAAAAAAACTGCTTCCAAAAGGTCTTGATCTTACATCTAACTCTCCCGAAGCACTCGATCTAGAAGTAATCCTATGAAAACCATCATCATAGCAATTGTCACTGAGCTCAGCAAGAAAAAGTCATTTAGTGAAATGCCAAACGACATGATTCAAGGTAATCATGCAAAGAAAGCCGGGTATACCACATGGATAGCACACGCGCACACACGCACGTATTTACAACTGCACTATTCTCGGGAATGCTGTTTGTTTCCAAGACACGGCGAAGCCACCACCATCTCCCCAGAGAGCAGCACAGCTTAGTCAAAGTCACGGTTTGTAAGAACCAGCGGAGCGACCAGAGTCCACACGTACAGCACGATGCCAATCCAGCTGGAAGAGATCTTCACCCAGACAGACGGCCATTTGCTGGTCATCGTCTCATAAGAAGAATCCGGGCTGTGAAAGAAAAGAAAAAAGGTGATTTGCAATTTTTGTTTCAATATGACAGACTTGTGAAGTAAGCCACTCCAACACCATTTCCACAGTAGATCATTTTCACTTCAGCTCCACACCTCGAAGGACATCTCCACCCTCCTCCTCCCAGGCTGTTCACACCAATCTGTACGAGAACACCATTCCAAGCTGGTCTCATAGGAAGGTGGAAAGCAACAGCAGCCCAAAAATACTTAGTTAAAAGAAGCAGTCAAGAAGAAATAATTAGGAGGAATCTCTAAGCAAGTCTGTGGAAAGGCAGGGAATGGACAGCATTTCTAGATACAAAGAATGCATTTTACCTTGCCAAAAAGACAAGGCCTAGAAGAATTAATAACCTTTATGTCACACTGACCCAAACAGGGCCACAAATCAAATCCACAGCATGACTATCTACTAAGGAAAACACCTTTCTAGTGTTGCTATTTTGCTACAAGTCATCCTTTACAAATTATTAGAGGCCATAATTTATATTTTTAAATTCTGAAGAGCATCTGCTCAAGCTGTTAACATAATAAAAATTCACACACAGGAGGACTGGTTTACTGTGAGGATTTTTTCGGGGAGCTGACAACCTCATTTCCTTCCACCAGACCCCATCGCAGCAAGTTTGAGGTTGGAAGGGACCTCTGAAGGGCGTCTGCTCCACCCTCCCTGCCCAAGCAGGGACACCTCGAGCCAGGACTATGCCCTGACAGCTCTTGAGTATCTCCAAGGATGGAGACTCCCTGGGCAACGTGCGTCAGTGCGCAGTCACCCTTTCAATGCAAACATGAGGGGGAACATCCCGTGTTTCAGTGTGTGCCCACTGCCTCTGGTCCTGTCGCTGAGCACCACTGAAAAAAATCTGGCTCCATCCTCTTTGCACCCTCCCTTCAGGTATTTATATACATTGGTAAGATCCCCCTGAGCCTTCTCCTCCCTAGGCTGAGCAGTGCCAGCTCTCTCAGCCTCTCCTCACATGAGAGGTGCTCCAGTCCCTTCATCATCTTTGTGGCCCTTTGCTGGACTCTCTCTCGTATGTCCCTTTCTCTCCTGCAGTGAGGAGCCCAGGACTGGACCCAGCACTCCAGGTGTGATGTCACCAGTGCTGAGCAGATGGGAAGGATCACCTCTCCCTTGACCTGCTGATATAACATGTCCCATCTCTCCTTTTTCCAGCTTTCCGTACCACATGTGGGCCTGGTGTTTACTTATTTCCAGTCCTTACAGAATTTAAGACTATCATATTCACTTCAGCAGTCCAGTGAGTCGTGAGAACTATCCTAGAAAATATGATAGGCACTTGTGAACAAGGCTGGCTACTCCAATTTTCAAATACAATTCATCTCATTTAGCTCAAACAGGATACTCCCCTTGAGAAGTCCCAGTCAAGACCTACACTCCTCACAGCACACAACTTGTCCAGCAGAAGATGACATCTTGTATGCTCATCATGAGCACAGGTATGTTAGCAAACAAATACCTGTACCAGTTGGTAAGCGTCATCATGATATACAGTGATGCCAGGAAAAGCATGAAATGGAAGAAGGAGTAACTGTAAGTAACTCCATCCCTCTCGTTATCTATGGCTCGGTGAACATCATCTCCATCATCAAGGGAGCCGTCACTCCTGGGCATTCCATCCTCTATCAGTGTTGACTCATCACTGGTCAGCATCAGCTTGTTAACTTGGCTGTTGTTGGATGTTCGAATGCTGTATTTGACAGGCAAGGACACAGCACAGTTACCCAAATAAATACAATTTACTATCTGACAACAAGAAGTAATAGGAGTTAACAGGAATTTTTTTAAAGGAATCTTACCTTGAATAGAGAACACACAGCAAAAACAAAACCAGTCCTACAATTCCTTGTGCATCCCACCACTGAACTACCTGGCCTTGGGTCGGAATGGTGGTGCTGTTGTAACCAATGATGCTCAGCAAACTTGGGTTACAGCGCCTATCTGTGGGGGAGATTACATTAGAACTTACAGAAAACGAACAGAACAAATATTTAATAGTACATTTCCACACTGAATGCATGGCAATTCTGTGACTGTGACAGTCTTGAGGTAAAAAAAGCTTTGAATCTAATTTTAGCCTACTGAACCTCTCTCTAAAGCAGGCAAATTACAGTATGCAGCATAAAAATCTGCCTCTTTAGGCAGATAAAAGGATTTTAAACTTACATAAGATATGCATCAACTGCTTTACTGTTCCATCTCATATAATTAGATGCAGTAAAGTAAAAATGCTTTACATCTTATAGGCTTTACAAATTCTACCACTAGAAAACAACGTTTGACAAACATACGCTGTATAGATGGGGTACCAGAGTCATCTCGGTTGGAAAAGAATGCTATGAAGTCAGTTTCATATTATCAACAGTTCCCAACCCACAGCATCCACAGATAACAGAGATGAAACAGCTGAAAGTAGCAGACAATCTTATTTCCCCATAATGACTGCAGGAATTAGATATGACTCATATCTGTGCTGCTACACAGAAGATTGTCCATAATTAAGATACAAGGGCCAGAGACCCAATTAAAAATACCAAAATCAGTATTTAGCAGTTTATTTTAATCACCAGAATTTCTGAATTTTTTTAGTTTGGGTTTTTTGTTTAAGAGATGCTTAGATGTTTTCAGACACAAGAAACATCGAAAACACTTATTAGTAAGTTTTTTAAATCCTCAGTTCAGAAAAATATAATCAGTAGCACCTCAGTCACCAGGTAAGACACTTGAAACTTGATAGGGAGGTAAAGCTTCCAGGCACCTTGGAAGAGTTGTGGTAATCGGCAAAATCTAAGCTTTAGAACACTGCAATCCTGCAACTAATAGGTAGAAATTCTTCTACACGATAAACACAAGAACAAGTGAAAACCACATTCTCCTTGAAAGAGTTATTTTTTCGGTCTTATTACAGAAATTTGGGGTGGAGGGAGAGAACAGAAACTAATGAGTCCTGCCTCTAACCTGCATGCATTACAGTTCCCCAATCTAACACTGCCTTGCAAAAAGGTGAAGGTGTAATTTACTGCTGAACTGGTTACCCAAAAAGCCATGTATGGCTGCCACTTACCTGGTTCATTGGTCATAGCTGACCAAGTCAAATACATTGTATAAATTGTGATGACAGAAGACTGCAGCAAACCAGATCTTGGCTGAGATTCCTACAGAAAGTAATCATGACAACAGCAAAGTTAAGCAATTAAAAGTCTCAGGCACAATTTTATTACCGGTTTCTGGGACACAAAAACACCCTAAAAAGCAACAGAATTAAAACCATACCTGAATCTTCGGCAGAATTGACATTACAGAAGCACCAATACACAGCAGCATATTAACACTGATGAATGTCTTGTTTTCAGAACAACCTTCTGGATGAGTGTAATAAACGTAAAACAAGACAATAGCTACTAGAGACAGCAGGTAATTCACAGCTGTAGCTGACAGCAGAGCTGCAAAAAGAGACAAAACCAGAGTTAAACCAGTTAATGGAGAGTAAAATTGAAATAATATTGCACGATTATCAGGTTTTGGATATGGTATACAATGACAACTAGAGAGCAGCTCTAGGCACTGAAGTGTAAAGGAAATAAGTTCTTCAATACTCTGAGGTGTTAAAAAGAAAGAATACAATAAATGGGGAGCCTGAAGCCATACTCGACTCTTCAGTGCTCTAACAGCAACCAAGAAGAGCAAATATGAAAGAATACAGTTACACTACACGCACTGCAACTAAAAGCTTAAAAAAGAAACTGAAGAACTACTTCTCCAACAGAAGGAAAACCAAAATCTTACTTCCAAACTTCATCTTATTAAGAACATTAAAGAGTGAAGTGGCCATTGTACAAAGACAGGCTGTGCTGTCTTTTGAAACCCCTAAATTATCACATCTGAAACGCTTCATGAATATCAACACAGCGTTTCTCCAGCGAGATGACTCGTACCTTCCTTCACTGACTTGGCCTTTCACTTAGCATATACCTTTGAAGAATGACCCACCAGCAGACAGAAAGAAAAAAGAGTTAGTTGAGATGCTTATGCTAACATGAAGCAGCAACAGACTAATTTGTTTTGAATCAGCACTAAGATGTAACAAAACCTGTGACTGAAAAAAAAAACAAAAACAAACAACAACAACAAAAAAAAGGCAAAAAAACCACCCTACAATTGCCATTTCTCTGTTATCATGAACTGATGCCCTGCTCCCAGAGACAAGATCTTATTACTCAGAGGCTGTTGCCCTTCTCCCTGACCTCCCCTTATTTAACCTGACATCAAAAGGACAGCGAGACAACAGAGCTGAACTGCACCATCTGAGAAAACGATACTTATGCACGAAGCAGCCCTTCTGCACTCTGGTAAAACGCACTCTGTGAATAATTTATTTAACATAATGCACAATGAAATTTAAAACTTGACTGTAGTACAGTCCTTTACCTGCATACCAGCATCTTGAGTTTCCTTCCTCCATTTTTTCAACCCAAGATTCATTCCAGGAGTGGGCAAAGTCAATAAGCAAGACCAGCTGAATAAGAATAAAGCAGAATGCTCCAGCCATACCTACATAAAACCAGACTAAAAGAGAAATAAAACAAAACCAGTTCAGAACCAGAGAATTTACCACCCTATGTCCCTAAACACAGAAAAGTGCTGGAGGTACACAGCTACAATTAAAGCTATAAAACATCAGCATGCACTTAGTTTTGTTTTAAAACCAGTTATGACTGCACCATGATACAGTGGAAGACAATATCCCCTTACCAGTTGTAAATGGTCCCTCTGGTATGAAGAAAGCTCCAACACTAATTGCAAGTGCTGTTGCAAATTTAAAGAACCAGAATCTAAAGTAAGGAAAAAAAAAATAAAAGTCAGTCAACTGCTTAAGTCTGATATAATTCACAAAAACTTGAAAGTATACAAAATGTACATCCTTCAGAGTTGTTTTTTAATTCACTCATTCTTAACTCATTTCTCCTGAAGTATGATAAAAATGTATCTTTATCTGCCCAAGATTTTTATTCTCCAGAAAATTATGCTTCAGCTGTGCTAGACTGACAGAGTTTGACACATTTCCCTGAGATATCTCACTCACGTATTACAAATGAAGCCAGGGTGGAATATAATTGTGAGTTTTGTTTTGTTTTTTTAAGAAGGTTTTTAACTGGAGCAGTGAGATTATTGAACTGCCTGCGTATCAGAAAAATGGATTAGAAAAAAAAGCCCTACCTGTTTTTAATAAGAAAAACAAAAAGTAGGTCTGGTTTGTGCCTACAATGACCGAAGACATTATGCTGAAGTTCCCTACCAGTCTCAATTCATTTCCTACAAGAGAGAGAGTTACAAAAGCCTGGATTCTTCCCACCTAACTTCAGACTCTTTAGGCCTGCATCTGATGAGGATTTATCACAACAACAAAAGCAAAGAATTTATCCTTCACAGAAAGGACACAATCAAAAGACACCGAAAGTCCCTGTTCCACTGCAATAGCAGGTTTTTGGGTTTTTTTTTTTGTTGTTGTTTTTTTTTTTTTTTTTTTTTCCCAGTAAGAGAGCTGAACTCATGAACAAACAAAACAGAAAAAGCAGACAAGGAAGTATCTTCCACCAAAGGTTCACCAAACTCACCCCAAATACAGACTGTGTACAAATATACCCTGCATAGGGAACTTCAAATGAGTAAGTTATGCCAACAAAACCAGAAGATGGTGAAGACTATTTTGTCTTATCACAGTGACAGGCAGCTCCAAATATAGGCACACTACCATCTACATGTACTTCAAACCTGAATATAGCACAAAGACACGTACCACACGCCCATGATGAAAACTGTGCAACTGTTTGACAAGTTTTCTATCCCTTCCCATTTTTTCCCCATACTTTGAACAAGCTTAACCTCTCCTTCTGGCTGTTACAATCAGGTCATGGTGACCAGAGTCATAAATTCCAGTTGTGTGGAGAGGAACTATATAAGATGACAGAAGTGCAGAATATGAGAAAAACGGACTAATTCACTGGGATACAGAGGGGTTTGAAAGCTGAATTAGCTTATAAAAGTTATGGTGTAATACACACCCCCCTAAAACAAGTTTTTGAATCCACATGTGGAATTTTATTTTAAATCAATGTCATTCTCAATTACAGAAATAAGAACAGGCTCAAGTTTGTGTAACTGTCATCTCTAATTCCAGACGTTAAGGGATCTTAACACTCTATCCATGTAACGTGTGACAGCCAAAACCAATACTCATCTGAAGCAACACCTACAGTTGCTATGTGTTCTGTGCAAGCCAGCAACAATCCTGCAAATACATTGTAACTGATTTTTTCTATTATTATAATCAACCTGAGGCAATAAACCATTCTGACTACTGTTACAAAAGCAAAAAAGGTGAACATTGGCACTGGACCACATTACTGGGCTTAACTTGCATGCAAGTATAAAAAAGCTAGTACACATAGATGGGAAAACATAGTATTTGGAATATTTCAAATCACTGACAGAAAGATTACACATCAAAGTATTACTGAAGATACATACAATTGCAAAAAAACATCAAAAGCCATGGTTTTCATAAACCTACCTGTAACGCACACTACTGAAGCAACCAGTTAGCGCAGAAGTGTTGGAAGTAACATTATGAAATGTTTTACCAGTAACAGTTAATGAGTATCATTTTTCCTTTTATCCTAGTGCTGACACTAGATTGGCTAAGAAAAGTAAACTGCTACAGGTTGCATAAATAGTACCAAAACTGTTAGTGGGGAGCACAACACCGGATAAGGGTATCAAGACGACCCCAAAAACTTAAGAAGCTCTTTTAGGTAAAAAGATTCCCCATCATCTAAAAAGAGGTCTTTTACAGTAAAAAACTAAGAGTTGATATAGAATGCATCTGAACCATTTTCTTCTTGCTTGTAACAGGTATGCTCTCCTGAACAAAGCAGGGCAGAGGGAAAGGCTGAACTGAGTTACTGCTGCTAATGCTTCTTAAAACCGTACTGAGCTGCTGCTTCTTTAGACCGAAACAAACAAAACAGGTAAAGAAAGCAATATTCTGGTCAGCCTTATTTTCTTTTCCCCTACAGAAATAATTTGAAGTTTTTTCTTGTTTTCTGCTAGAAATGTTTAATCTTATTATACTGAATATAAAATAAAATTACTTCTTCATTTTTACGGCTTAGCTGTTCAGAGCTTTCATTAAATAAAATCATCTTGAAAAAGTAGTAGTCCAAGCAATCACTGTGACCACCAAGACTAGACAACATAAATGGTTTTATGCTTTTTAGTGCCATGCCCGATTACAAATATTTACATCTCGTTGGTTCAAGAAGCTACATTACACATAGGCTGAGCCTGGATAAAAGCTACCACTCGTGTCAACCTGGAAGCTGAAATTCCACTATTATCTGCCATTTTATAATCCCAACTATAATGAGATGAAAAGGAAAAATTTACTGGGAAGGTCAGAAACTAAATATGTAACTCACTCTTCTTTATGCAGAGGGGACACTGAAGAAAAGATATCAGAGGGGGAAGAGATATGTTATATATCTAGATAGGGATATATATAACTGTTATAATATTTAAAATAAAACTGTTCAGAAAAGAGCAAGCCCTTACAAACATCAAAGTTAAGAGGACTGTAATTCCTAGAGAACAGAGAAGACTTTTGCATCTACTTGCTGAAAAAAATCTCAGTGGAATGAAACCTAGTACCATTATTCATCTCTGAATTTTGTCACCTCTGGACAAAAGCAGAATCTCTAATCTTGGGAAATCTCTGGACCCACTGTCATAGTTCAGGCTCTGAAAAGTGACAGCCACGTGTATCTTTTACTCTAACAAAAATTCATCTGCCACGTGCAAGAACTCTAACAACTCTGAATGCCCTCTACTGCAACAACACTCCTCTAGCTACTCTGAAATTTGTTTGTGGGACAGTAAATTTGACCAGCGTGCTCTGCCACAGGTTTTGTTTTCACAGGAGCTGTACCCCATACATACACGCTGCCCATCTCAGCTCTCACTCCTGTATCTTACCCGTTGTGCACCGCTGCCCTTGGGTCGTTGCTGCTCTTCACTTTGATCATCAATAATGAGAAGAGAAGGAAGAACATGGCCATACCAAAGCACACACGGTACACAGCTTTGTAACCAACTAGTACATCGCAATTCACATGGCCGTGCACACCAGGAATAGTTGTTCCCATCCCTCCATCACAAAATCCAGGAATCTGTGACAAATACAAGATATTTCAGTGATCTACAGAAGGCCTCCTATGAGTAAGTAACTATTAGCAATTTATTAATATATAATTAATTAATATTGTAACATTATGCAACCAACACTGCTAAAAAACACGATACTGAAGGGCTGAATTGTCAGTTACAGTCCAACCAGAACATTAAACACATTCAAGGAAAAAAAAAAACACATAGGCAAATTCTAAGCAAAACCAAAAATAAATCTTATTAACAGTGGGGAGGGCTTGTTATTATCAATTTCAGAACTTCTCAAAGAAATGCAGTTTGCACTTGTTGATCTGAATCAGGAGATAAATAAAAAAATCTGGGATTTGGTAAATTTGACTTAGTTATCACCAGGTTCATGACACAGCTAGAAGGCAGCCTACCTGCATCCCTCTAAAACAGAAACAGCCTCCCCCAAAAAGTAACATAACCATCAATTACACATATCTGTAACTTCCGTACGAAAAGCTGGGAGTATCCTTTCCAGTCACTACCAGGACAGGAGCAACATCTTTCTGAAATAAAATCATACTCTGGAAGCCTGTAATTTTCTTTCCTAGGTAACTAACATGGCTCTCACTGAAGCTCTAATGTGGTTACTGTACCACCCTGAAATAAACATTTACAGATGAATCATTTGAGAAGAAAATCAAAAGCATGCCTAACAGAAGTTACTATCTACTAGAAAAAAATTAAAGAGCACAACAAAGACTAACAGAACCAAAGCACATGCAACCTGAGTTCAGTGAATGTATAAGGTCTCCCGTAACTCAAATTATCACTCTGTAATTTTACATGCTCTATCATATCTTCATATAGCTAATAAACTGTGAAATCCTAGGTGCACTTTCTAATTTCCTTAGTGAAAAGTATTTGTTATGCATTTGCAGATTTTAGAATAGAATTTTAACTAGTACAGCACAATGAAACTAGACATCTTAGATTGCAGTTATTTCTTCCTTTCATTAACAGCAATCAAAGCCAATCAAGTACCACAAATACAAACATCTCAATAATATATAACCTAAAATTCCACGTACTTAAATTACATTTTCTTGTTTGACACAGGATTTTCTTTTTCTGCTCTGAGCTACTAAAGAAGAGGTACAACCTTACTTCTAAATAGTGTGACAATCACTGCATGGATGAAAAACACAAGTTGTTTATTTAATCTACAATCAAATTAATGGTGACTATGAAGCACAGGTGGCAGCAGAATTACTTATTTCCAAATAAAACCCATGCTTTCAAGATGTCATTTACAATTATCTGTAACACATGTTTGACCAAACAGGTAAGCAAAGTAGTAACCTGACCTTCTTCAGCTGCTCTTCCATGCCTGGTATTAACATCACACAGGCAACACTCACGCCAAGAAGTAAAAAGAATGCATAAATCAGCCGAGTTATGGTGGAGTTGTTCCCACTGGGGCAGCACCGGCAGAGCAGGCAGGGGGCACTTCCGCATAAGCACGGTATCTGAGAGAGAGACAGAACATAAAACAAATTCTTTAAAAAGTTTTGCATTGATAGTTTTAAATATTTAATCAGGCTGAATAGATCATCGGAAGTTATGATGGAAAATGACTCATCCTATGCATCCATCACTTGTGCAGACTAAGTCACTGCAAGACATTCTAGAGCCCCCTAACAATCTTGGCAGAGCTTCCTAATGCCCCACTGTACAGTGAAATCAGTGCTATGTCACAAGTAATCATTTATCCATTCAGAGAAAATAAAGACTCTATTCATGCCCATTTGTTCTCTTGATTTTTATTTCGTTTCAGCTAAATGAGATGCAAGGATTGCTTTTAGTTAACAACTATGTCCTTCCTTCCACAGCTGCAGAGATTAAACAACTACACCACAGAAAAAAAAAAAAAAAAAAGAGCAAAACCAACAGGTAAAACAGCCTAAAGCTTAGGTTGCAAATTATTGTGTATTTAGCAGGTACTCACATATCACATAATTCAGTTAGCCGGCAAAGTTAACTTACGCAATGTAAAAGTTACAAACCACAAGAACAAAGCAAACACACAGTACACCTATCATCATTGCTACCAAATATGAACTGCAAAAGTGGACAGGAACGCTGTACAGTTATAATACTACAAGGGAAAAAAATGGAACAAAATTTACCTGTATTTAAGTCTTAAACAGAAAATAGTGGGAAGAAGGAAAGGGAGTAGATAATGCTACTTCACCAGGGCGGGAGTGGGAAACGTACTTCACCCCTTCCCAATTTTCTGCCTCCCCAAGTGACAACTCAGGAAGTGAAAGTGCAAGGTTTCACAAGTAAACAAAAGCTAAAAGAAGAAAGGTACAATCAGAACGTTTGGTTTGGGTTTTGTTTTTTGGTTGGTTGTTTTTTTTTTTTTTCTTTTTTTTTTTTTAATTGACAAATAAATTATTTTGCCTAGAAGACATGGGAAATCCCAGTGAGCAGTTAACAGCTAAGTTTTGGAGGCCAAATGTTTTCCAGCTAAGGTAAAGTTACGAAGCAGGCACTGCCCTAACAGCGCTGCCCCAGACCGTTCAGCCTCTGACAAAGATCCCGAACAGCCGTAAAACTCCATTTCTCCCCCAGCACCCACACAAGGACACCTCCCCCAAGTGACAAAAGCCACTGGTATTAATCACCACATCAAAGACACCCAGTCAGTCACAGGAGGACATGACTAGCTTCACAGACCAGTGAATGTCAATCACCCAGCATGACTGGAATGCATCAGAAAGGGTTCTTAAAAGTTTAGTCATACGACAAACAAAAATGCCAGCAGTCTGCTGCTACCGGGAAGGCCCCAGGGCTTGCAGGGCAGAGCAGGGAGGCTGCCACTGCAACAGGCTCAGCAGCCTCCAGAGGAGCCCTCGGGAAAAGGTTCACGTTATCCGTTCATACAGGCTCAACCACACCCACACACTGGACCTAAAAACTGGGTCTTTTAAATAATTTCATTATATTCTGTTTGTATATGTGTTCCTTTCCAAGGATGGAGGAGCCAAGCATTTTCATTCCATCATCCTACAGAATCATCTTTAAATGAGCAAATTTCACTATTAAATTCATCTTGCTAAAAAAGTGAAACTAGGTAGATTCTCATTGTAACTATTTCAGTATGTAAAAGATATTATATTGCCCTTTTTACTTCCTCCCTCACACAGTATCATTATAGCACGAGAAATATGAAGGCGTTGATTCCAGGAGAGGTTTCATCTCGATATAGTAAAGAAATTTTTTACCGTGAGAAAAATCAGTCACTGCAACAACCTCCCCAGGGCTGCGGTGGAGTCTCCACCACTGGAGGTTTTCAAGATGCAACCGGAGAGGGTGCTGGATCATCTCACATAGGCTCCCTTTCCCAGAAAAGGTTGGGCCCGATGAGGCTGTTCTGTGACTGCAAGCAACTACATTAGGGGCACCTACTCTTAGTAAACGGGAAATGTATGGCAAATACTGGCTTATGATGCATCAGGATTTTATAGTACTAATGTATGACACTATTTCCTCTACACACACAAATAACCTTTCTACTGAAGAACATTTATATTCTCTGTTAAAAAAAAAATACTTTCTTGAACTAATTCTGTTTGCATTAATATTTTTAAAGATACTGTTGAATAAAAGGTTGAATTTGGCAAAGCAGAATATAAGCCTAGGCTTATCTGCTGCAGAAAATTTAGTGCAAGGACTGCCTGGTATAAAAGTAATTTCTCTGGTGAATCCCCATATTAAATTGTTTATTAAATACCTAAATAACTCAAGCAGCTTCTTCCTGAGTGCATCAAGGGGAACACAGAAGAGCACATGTTTCTAGAGACACAGGAGGCTTGCAGATGCTCAAATAAAGGTGACTGTCTCCACCTCCCTGGGAAACAATGAGCCCCAAACAAGGCAATATACCTCATTTAAGTGTTTCAGCTCCAACACGAACTTTTAGAACATTTTGCCCCCAAACAGTTCATCTCTACAAGCCGTGATCGTGCACATCTCCAAACAAGAGACACCTATTGACATTTGATACTATTTATACACATTGGCCACTGCTACAAGGAATCATGTACAGTCCAAGTCCCTCTTTCTTTTGTCAAAACAGAATAAAATATACACCATTCCAATAAAATAATACTATTGGCAAAAACACTTTAACATGTAACATTTCAAAAAGAACAGAAAGCAAAGAATGTTCAGCCCATGGAGCTGAGTTTGTCAGCAGAGGAGACAAGGACAGTTTGTGACACTTTCTTCCTAAATTCAGAACATGCCTCCTACAAAAGATACCACAATAAGTGAGATGCTACCACACAGATCACAGCTTAACTCCCCAGGTGGAACTCAGCTTAGCCACAGATGCAGACAGAAAGTTACTCTGCAATGAGTTTTGAGACTGTCTTCCTAAGGAAGCTCAAACAACAGTTATTAAGTCACAACTGCATAAATCTATTGCCATCCAGTAACTCTTGTACCTACCAACCACTCCTATCACTCTATGTTTTTGAGAAAAATAAGCAGCTCAATGGTGTTCACTGAGGCAAAATAAGAAGAGATGACCCACACCTATTCCGGGAGCAGCCAGCTGGGCAGTCAAGATAACTCATGCCTACTGAACTAGTCACTTCATTCTCTAGGGCAGTGGAAATTGCAGGAGGAACACATAACAAGATGAATATTGCAGGAGAGAGAATGAAAAAGAAAATCCCACAAAACCACTTAAAGTCAAGTGTTACTGCCCCTGATGCCCACAGAACAAGTTTTTAATATCAAATGTAATCTTCTCACTGGGGTAATGACTGAATGATTATATACTGAATTAATTATTTGCAAAAACACTAAGCCCCCCACTGGGCCTAGTCGGGTTCCCTACTCACCAGCTTAAAGAACTGATTCAATCAAGATCTTTGCCTTGATAGAGTATTTAGGTGAACAAAACAGCAGCTGAGCTATTTCAGAGAACAATGGAATAGAGGCAAGACCCGGCAGAGTGGAAATGGCACTGCCCGATCAATCTAGGTCACCAGGATCAGAAGAAAAGGCCTTCCCCCCATCCCCAACAGGCTCATCTTTGCTCTTAAAAACGCTAAACTGAAACACTGCCTGATCGGTGCACAGTGGGGCAGAGCTACAACCAGCAGTAACACCACACACAAAAAAAATCCAGAATGAAGATCTGAGGCCAGATGCCGAGGTCAGTCACCCAGAGCAGCTCTGCGTGGCACAACACACGGCCTTGCAGAGAAGCCAGGCAGCTGAAGCAACGCCAGCAGCAGCGTCTGCCCAGGCAAAAGAGGAGCAGTTTTCCCAGCCGTGGCACAGCCCGCACTAGCACAAACTGCTACATCTGGTTCCCCTGCTTCCTCAGCCTCCGTTTTTTCATCTCTGAGCTACAAATGGTGCTTATACTGACATAGCCTTAGAGACCAGGGCAGACAGATTTCTCCTATAAGAACTATCATATAGGCTTTAAGTGCTGATTAGCTGTGGTTTTGAGTGTGGAAAGCCAATCAACACTATAAAGCCATCAGCGGGGAAAACTGAAACAAAACCAACCTGATTTGTTTGGGCACTTTAAAGGAAGGAATGCGGGTTAGCTACCCACACTACATCTGACTTACGATTACACGGTCAATCATTTTATTTAAAGGACCATTAGCTGAATTTCTCTGTACAGAAACAAACACCTCAAAACCAAGGGCAAGTATACAGGGATTCTTCAAGCACTACAAATACCAGTTATCAGAAAGGCTGTTTTTGCACTCGAAAATGTGGTATATATTTACTCAAGCATTTGAATTAAAACCTATAGTTATACTGTTGCTTAGTATTTGACAATAATTAAAAATGTTAACACTAACTATATTCAGCTGGAAATTAAAGCCTAACTGGCTAATCCATTAAGTAGCATTTAAAATGTTAATTAAAGCAAAATGAACACTGACAGTACTTTGTTAACAGGACATTATCGGTGTTCTAGTTGCTTATTTACATGCATACCAGCCTGGAAGCTTAGCTCATACAAATTTACCAATTCTAGGATCATTTAATAGAATCCGTACAGCTGACTAAGGAGTTAAGTATCTCTCTAACTGAGTATCACCCTGTACTAGGGGAACCAAAGTCCATATATTTTGATGGCACAAAAAAACAGGAGCTTGAATCAATACGAGGTTTTGTTAGACCATTAAATTGTGTGTGTAAACTGTTTAAATATTTATAACCTCATTTAATTCAAGTACAGTACAATATTTTTGGGACGGAAAATTCTGGCTTTCACAATCTCACTGACATTTTTAAGACAAATGTCTAAAGATTCAGAATCCACTTGATTGCGTCTCTTCACATTGGGACGAGACTTGAAAAGACTTATCATCACTTAGGGACAAGACAGCAATACCTCAACTGAGAGGAGAGCTGACGTCCAGGATCTCTACCAACTTCGCTGCTTTTCTGCATAGTGCAAATAGTTTTAAAACCATCTCAAACTAGTTTCCCATTAAGAAAAATCACCGGACGATGCTCAGCATGGTGGTGACACATCTCCACAGACTGTGCACTGAGAAAACGATGGCTCAGTAAGACAAGGATGTTACAAGGGGTGGAGCTGCTCAAGACAAAGCCGTAAGAAAGAGAAACTAAATACAATCCTTAGGATCAGGGAAACAGGCAAGCTTTATTTTTCTCGAAAGAAATGCCGAACTTCAAAGCATTTAATCGGATTTTTAACTCCTTCGCAGGTTCGGGGAGGGGGGGAATTTCAGCGAACGCCGCAACACCTCCCGCACAGTACCGCGGCTTTACGCGGCGACCGGCAGCGCGACAGGCCGGCCTGTCCCAGCAAGCCCAGAGCTCCCCATCGCCCCAGCGAAACGGCCTCGGCGGATCCCTGGGGACCCCCAAAGAAGCCCGAAAAGTGGGGGCCCGCCCCAGGGCCCGCCTCTTCCAGCCCAGCGTGGGGAAGAGCCCTGCCCCATTCCTCCCCCCCCACACACACCCCCCCAGGAGGGAGGCGGCCGCTCGGGGCGGAGAGAGCCCGGGTGGGAGCGGGGAGGGGGCCCGCAGCCTGCCCGCGCTGGAGGGGGCGGGAAGGCAGCGCCGCGCCCGCCCCCGCCGCTGAGGAGACAAAGGCCCAGGGGATTGGGAGGCCCGGGGGAGGAGCGGGGGCCCGGCGGGGAGCAGGAGAAGGGGCTGGAGCCGCCGGCTCCGGGCCCGGGGCGGGCAGGGACCCGCCGCGCCCGCCTTACCCAGCTCGCCATGGAGCAGAGGCCCAGGACGCCGCCCATGGTCCGCGCCGGGATCGGGATCCAGCTCCTCCAAGATGGAAGCGCGCCGGCCGCGGGCTCCCCACGGGCTTGTTTACGGCTCCCGACGGCACTTCCGGCTGCGCTGACGGCAGCCGTGGCGTCACTTCCGGAGGGAGGGAGGGAGGGAGGCCGTGTGTCCGGGGCGGGGCGGCTGTGCGTGTCCCTTCCCCTGAGGTGTTAAAAGGTTGTAAAGCGTCGAGGAGCTGGGCTGTGGGGCTCCGTTGCCTTCCCACGCGTGGGAGCAGCCCGCGGCGGTGGGCTGGGCTCCCCGCCGCGGCTGCCGAAAGAAGTGACGGGCCGGCGCTGGGCGGCCGGAGCCTCCCGTGGCAGAGCAGTGCTAACGAGCCGGCCCCGTCCCGTAAATAAACGCAGTGTAAAGTTTTCGCCACGTCTAATTAATGAGGGGCCGCGTTTCTTAAAAGCACGAATAGGAGCACTGAGCCTGGGGAACCTTCTGGCCGGCGTGGTGGTGGCGGCTGTGCAGAAGATGAACACAGCCCCAAAAAAAAGGAAAAATCCAGAAAATAAAACAGTCCAAAAAGAAAAAGTATTTCTTCTAAAGTAATTGGGCAATCAAGAAACAGGAAATGTGCATTCTAATAATGCAATAATACCAAGGGTACTGTTTCAGCTGAAAAATACAATCATTTGTCAAATGTGTTTTAGTAACCAAAACTAGGGACATGGATTAAAAAAATAAATAAATAAATAAAATAGTTAACAGTATGAGGCAGAACATTTCATAAGGAGTAAACTATGTAACATTTTACAAATCAAGAAACATTTTTGACTCACAGGTTTATCTTCTTACTAACGTATGCAGTGATTATGGTATTACATACTGAGATACTGCTCAGGTTCGACCTAACGTATGAATGTTGCTAAATCTGTCTATAATTGATTTTAAAGGCAGTCCTATTTTCAAAATGAAACATGAAAAAGCTAAGAAGGAGCTTATGCAGGCTGAAGGTTTAAGGCTGTGATTGTTCTTCAGTGGTAAAAAAGGGAATGGGAGGAATTAACAAAGTGGTTATAGCTATTAGTTTGAAAGGTAAATTCACGGAATTAGTGGACATTGCATGCTGAACTGAAATAAAATGCAGCATGTGTGTCCTTACCAAAAGGCCAAGAAAGCTTTGGAAAGTCTCTATAAAAGAAAAAATGTTGCTGAAGTGATGGTACTTGAGGGTGGGAGATGGGATCGACTGTTAGGTAGGTTTCATCTGCTCCTTGGCTAAACAGTCTCCACGCCAGTGGCCACCAGGGTCTCCTTGGTCTGTTGCCGACAAGCACCTCATGGTCTTGCACCACGGCAGCCGTCGAGGTGCAGGTGAGCTCTGGTGGGAGCCAGAGCCAGAGCCATCCTCCCCCTCACCCCCCCAGGACTCACTGAAGTGTAACGGGACCTTCCCCCACGTCAGGCAGGGTAACGGTGGCAGATTTGCAGCTGCGGCAAGGAGGAGGGAAGTCTTGGGGAGAGGAAGGCAGCGAGTGCTGCTCTCTCCCTCTCCCAGTGCCCGGGGCACGAGGCTGGTATCGGCAGTGAATGAGGATTTGGTACCTGTGCCCCGCGTCTCCTCAGAAGGGCAGCGGCAGGGCAGGGGGTGGGGAAAAGTGTTGGAGTCCCGTTAGTTCAGCCAGTAGGTCCACAACAGGAATTCTTACTAATCACTTCTGTTTGTGCACCAATTTGAGCCAGTAAAGTGTGCTGTGTTCATCTGCTACCTAGCACCCCCACGATAGGTCCTGCAGGCTCAAACCAGCTCACAGCTAACGCAGTGGCTCACTTTGTGTGATGAAGTCATAATCTCTCAAAACAGGAGTCCATTCCTACTCCTTTGTGAAGCCCTTAATCTTTTCCAGAGATTTCATTAGTTACTGAGTTCTTTTCTGCTTCAGTATTCCTGCAATCTTCACAGTGCGCTCCTTTTCCTTACAAAAACCTCTGATAGCCAAGGCAGACTATTTCTGTCCAGACCAGCCTGATCTATTTTCTTTCCAAGTACGAAATCACATCATTGTTCTCCGATTCTTTCATTGTTTCTGCTCTCTTATTTGGAGCATCTACTGTGGAAAGACACTGAAGCATTATGTACACTTCACTGAACCAAGTCTTCCTCCTCCTCCTTCATCTTTTCTAAGAAATTCTGAGAGAAGCTATCTGCTACAGGAATTTGTCTTCTGGAGTTTTATTTCACTTTCGAGTCATACAGCTTGCCTGACAGCTTTAAATCATATTGTGAAATGTCAGTTGTGTAGAAACTAGAAGTTTCTCAGAATTGTTCTTCAGGCATTTGGAGGTCTATTTTGACTGCTCATATTCTGCTGTGGAAATGTGTAGGACTTTGCTTACCTTCAGCCATGATGGTAAATACTTTCCTTTGTACTAGAGTTTTCTTTAAACTATTTGCTGTTGTCGTGGTTTGGGCCTGGTTGGTAGCCAACCACAATGCAGCAGCTCTCTCTCCCATCCCCTCCAGCAATGAAAAGGGACAGAGAGCCAGGCTTGGGGTTCGAGATAGGACTGGGATGGGGAGAAAATTCCCCCTTATGGTCACGAGAAAAAGGCAGACTCATTAGGGGAAGAAAAAAACCCCATACATTTATCACAGACACTAACAACACATAACAGAGTAGGACAGTGAGAAGCATTACCACATCTTGAGAACACCTTCCCCCCACCCCTCCCTTCTTCCCGGGCTCAGCTCTGCTCCCGATATCTCTACCTCCTCCCCCAGTGGCGCAGGGGCAGGGAATGGGGGGTGCAGTCAGCGCTGCCACTTCCCTTATCTTCGGTGAGGGGAGTGTCCAAAACTTGTTCCCCCCTGCTCCATCGTGGTCCCCCTCTCACAGCAGACAGTCCTCCACAAACTTTCTCCGACATGAATTTCTCCCACGGGCCGCAGCGTTCCCCACGCTGCTCCGTCATGGGTCACTAACTTCCTCCGACTGGATTCCCTCCCACGGCTGCAGCCCTTCCCGAGCTGCTCTGGCGTGGGACTCCCCTGCATGCTGCAATCCTCCCAGTGCTGAATTACATCAGTGGCGCTGCCTTTTCCCATGAGACCCCGGCCTTCTTCAGGCACAGAACCTTGATCATCTGAGCAGGAGCAACAGGCCATAAATCAATGTCTGCTCCACCGTAGATCTTCATGGGTGGCAGGGGGGGCCGCCCTGCCGTCTCACCACAGGGTACAGGGGGGTCTCTGCTCCGGCACACCTCCCCCCTCCTTTCTTCCTCCGTTCCTCCACTGACCTTGGTGTTCACGCAGCTGCAGCAACTCCTCCTCACAAGTCCCACTGCCCGTCACCACGTCCCTTCTTAAATACGTTATCGCAGAGGCGCAGCCGATTGGCTCAATTTCCCAAACAGAAGTGGAGCTGGCTTGGAGCTGGGGGAGCTTCGAGAAGCTTCTCACAGGGGGCCGCCCCGATAGCCCCCTCCCCTGCCACCAAAAAACTCCACCACTCACTCAACCCAGAACAGCTGTCAGTCCACTTGCCACTGGAAGAGCTTCTTGCAGCTTTGCCAGGTTTGAATCATTTCTTTAATTTAATTGCAGTCCTTCAGTTTTATTCAGTTTGAAGGGGGGGTGAAATCCTTCATACAAAGATATCTGTCTCACATGGCTTCCACAATGTGATCTCCTACTTCCCTGTGAGCCTCTTGAGTTTGTATGGTTATGAAAATCATACTTGTCCATTGTTTTAGAAAGTAACGGGACCCAAAGAGCTGAAGCAACTTTGTGTTTTTATCTCCTTTGTGCTACAGAGCTTCTTGCTAAAAACTGCCTTTTTGTTAGATGCGTGTTGGAAAAGGAGGCTTTTTCCAGACAAGAGACCACCTCTCAGTTCCATGGTCTGCACAAGCAACTTCAGTCAGCTCCCTCAGTGAGCGCCAGATCTGCAGAGAGCCAGGAGCTGCCCTGTGGGGGATCCCAAACACGGCTACACACACTTTATCAGAAAAGCCCCGGGGACCATTTTATCTCTTGAGTTCATGTCCTCAGACCACTGAGAGGAAGGGCGAACTAGACAGAACAAGGTGCACTAAACAGGCTTATGCTCTGGGCAAGGCTTTTCCAGATCCATAGTTTTCTGTTAGTGGTTCAGCAGAGAGGGAGAATCCTGAAAATCACTCTGGACGGGAAACGGACAAGTTGCGGGCCTGCCTCATGCTGAGGGAGGCTGCATTTCTTGCCAGGAATTCCTGCCCGCAGTAATTGAGTTACCATGCATTGCATTTGTTGTTTGAAGGAACAAGGCAAATACTATACTGCCTGGTGTACACACAATAAGCCCTACAGCTTGCAGGAAACACCAGGGATATGTACGGTGACCACGCATGTAACATGTGCACCGTAAGACCAGCAGTTCTCCATTATAGTTAGGCAGTGCCCGTGTATATGTTAGGAATGTGCACTGTGTAAGATGGAGTTAAAACATTTTGTGAACAGTGTTGAGCCAGACGTGTTTTCTGTGTACCTTCAGTTGTGCAGAAGCCGTGAGCATGTTTCTCCAGGGCCTCGGGCATTGCTTTGTGAAGCATTCAGCAGTACAGTGCAGCAGCATTGGGCCTTTCACCATGGGTAGACTACCTTACATCCACAAATCTCAGAAAAATATGAAAGCACCTCCAGGCCTTCCCGGACAAGATTTCTAAGCACACACACACACACACAAAAGAACATGTAAGGGAATAGAAGAGCAAATAAAAGGTGTCTGTGATGGGGCCTCTCTCATTTTTGTGCTATGATGTCAAAATCATACCAGGCATCAGTATAAAATTTGGGGGAAGCAAAATGTTCAGCCTTCCAATCTGAAGGGGAAAACCGAGGAAGGCTTTTGTTCTCTCCACATGGGTATGGAGATGTATCTGAAGATCATCTCCCCCAGAGGGCAGTGCAAGTTAAAGAATGGAAATGTCTCCCTGGCGGCGTTTAAATGGAAATCAGCAATTTGAAGATGTGTTTTTTATCTCAGCAATGTTAACAGAAAAATAGTCTGCAGGAATGTATTTTCTGAAATAAATCTGTGTACACACTACAACTTTCCATTTCACTCACTTTAAGCCACGTTTAAGTGAAATCTACAAGAATC